ACAGAATACTAGAGGTAATTATATTGAGTTAACCGTTTAGTAGTGTAAATTTTTGTCCTTTTAAATTTTGTTTTCCAGTTGTTTTTTCACATTGATCTCAGTTTTAGTGGTTTCACATTTTGTTTAAATCATTTAATTTTTTCTATTGTAAAAAAAYAAACGTGTTTAAGTTCAGTTAAGTTTCCCCACGTTTTTCGAAACAGTTAAATATGTTTTAAAAATCTGTAAATGATGAAAAATGAGAAGAAAGCCTGAAGCACTACATCTCCCAGCATACAATGCGCAGGGAGGTGAGCGCAGGGGACACCGGAAGTGTGTGCCTTTCAGAATAAATTCTGAGGTAAATGCTTGTCTGGTGTTTTCTGTTGAAATGAACTCGACCTGTTCCTTCACTCTGAGTAAATTTACTGAACCAGTTTGTTYTACAGTCAGGTGACAGGCAGACATTCTCTATTTGATGAATCAACTGAAATAGGAAACTGGTGACCTCTGTTTTGGACATATCATATTTAGCGCTGTAACAATTGTCATTCATATTTCTGTTAAATAAGACATTTATTTTGAAAGTCTCCACGGGAAGTGGTTCAGTGTAAGTTCCTACTTTACGCTATCGGTGATTCCGTAAATTCCCGGTAATATCACCGGTAATCTTTCAGGTTTTTTGCGGGCTGTTGGACCTCCGGGGCTCGGTTGCGGGTGTCCGTCCTACAGCCTGCCGCATCCGGACCTCTCGGTGTCGGTTCTTGCTCCGGGACCGGGTCGGTTCTGTAATCCCCGGATTTCGGGCTGGAACAGACGGCGGGGGGATTTTCTCTGATTTCCATCGTTAGGAACGAGAAATGTTCCGTTTCGAATCGAACCTTCGGGTCCAGGTCTGTGATCTGTCTGAACTGTGACCTTCTGATCCGAACCGATCCGGTCCGGAACCCGCTCCTGTTTCTGACCTGTATTTTTTTTATTTTAAATTTAAATGATGTCATCAACTTAAAATAAAATAAAATGTTAAATGACATAATCTGGTCAGGTTCAGACATTTGAATAAAACAGATCAAAATTAAAAACGTCCAGATTTAATTAAAGTCTGAACAGAAGCTATTTCTACTTCCTGGGCTGACCAAAATAAAAGCAGGCTTTATTTTGAAACTCAGATTACAGGGACCATGTGTGGATGTGATGACTGACAGCTCTGGTGCTGTAGTGAGGAATTATGGGAGATGTAGTCTGCTCTTTTAAAGGGACTACAGGGATGGACTGCAGCTCCCAGCATCCTTAGCTGTGGCGTGGGACTGGATAAACAGTGGTCTTTGTTTGGCCCAGAAGCCACATGTCAGATAAAACAGCGCCGCGCTGCCAGCTGAGGCTGGAGTGGATCCATGGGTATCGAGGCCACCAGTGCCGGAACAACCTGTACTACACCACTGGGAAGGAGGTGGTGTATTTTGTGGCTGGAGTGGGCGTGGTCTACAACACTAGAGAACACACCCAGAAGTTCTTCCTGGGGCACAATGATGACATCATCAGGTGAGATGGGCTTTGTCTAAAGGGGTTACAGGTAAAGATTGTTATAACACATTTTTTAATTGAATAATAAAATCTACCCCTCTAATGTGATGATTTGTTGTCCTCTTGCATTCTGGGACCATTCTGGTGTCATTACAGTGACTTCATCATAGTGACTTCATCAGTGACCTCATCACAGTGACATCATCACAATGACTTCATCACAGTGACCTCATCAGTGACTTCCTCACAATGACTTCATCACAATGACTTCATCTCAGAGACTTCCATCAATGACCTCATCACAGTGACTTCATCACAGTGACTTCATCACAATGACTTCATCACAATGACTTCCATTGGTGACCTCATCACAGTGACTTCATCACAGTGACCTCATCACAGTGACTTCACCAGTGACTTCCATCAGTGACCTCATCACAGTGACTTCATCACAGTGACCTCATCACAGTGACTTCACCAGTGACTTCCATCAGTGACCTCATCACAGTGACTTCATCACAGTGACCTCATCACAGTGACTTCACCAGTGACTTCCATCAGTGACCTCATCACAGTGACTTCATCACAGTGACCTCATCACAGTGACCTCATCACAGTGACCTCATCACAATGACTTCCATCAGTGACCTCATCACAGTGACTTCATCACAGTGACCTCATCACAGTGACCTCATCACAATGACTTCATCACAATGACTTCCATCGGTGACCTCATCACAGTGACTTCATTGGTGACTTCCGTCAGTGACCTCATCACAGTGACTTCATCACAGTGACTTCATCAGTGACTTCCATCAGTGACCTCATCACAGTGACTGCATTACAGTGTGCTCATCACAGTGACCTCATCACAATGACTTCATCACAATGACTTCC